CACCGGCTGCCTTACGGGGGTATCGAGACTGAGGCGTGTGATGTTGACCTTATGCGCAAAGCACAGCGTGAGTGATGTGGGCTTGGGCCCGTCGTCACGCGATGGTCGGACCGACACCTGTCACGATAATGTGATGTAGTTCGCAGCTTTCTGATTTCGCAGAGCAATGACGGAGGGCAGCCGAAACCACGCGGCCCGTGTATCCACATGCAGCGAGGGCCACCACGGCGGGCACCAACGGAGAGGCGTGGGGGCGAAATGGACGGGGAGGAAGGCCACGCGTGATTGCCTGCGCGTTCCCGTTCCTACGCGCAACACACAATGATCATGAGCAGGCCGAGCCTGGCCAACGAAATGTCCGTCGGCAGTCCTGTCGAGAGGCCTGCCACCGAGCTCAGTGCAAACCTGGGCACCTGACGCCCGATGTTGGGGCGTCTGGCGCATACATCCAACACCGGAGTGCGGGGTTCGGGCGTTGCGACCCGCAACTTGCGAAAGCTGGTAGCCCGCAGTATAGCTACCTCGGAATACATGACGCGTGGAGCTGGCCAGGCCGACACTGCCTTCTTGCAGGTTGCTATCGTGCCCGTGCCCTTGCCCTCGCTGGCCATGAGCAGGTGAAATGATTCTTGATGCACATGCAAACGTCCACAGTTGACGCAGTCGATCCCGGGCAACTCGGCCCGCCGTTAAAAGTTCAAACACGACAACATCCCCGAAAGCTGCAGCTCGGTGCCATCTTCACAGCCAGAACCAATCGACAGCCTCAGCTCATCGCCAGGTAAGGACACTGCCGCAGGTGCTGGCGTTGCAACCGCCGCTGGACGCGGGCATGCTGCAGTCCACTTCCTATCCAAAAGGCGTCGCGTCGGGGCTATTCTGTCGGAGCACCGCACTCTGAGCATCGCTGCTTACTAATGCAGCGGTTCGGTTTCGTCTCGGATACTGCAACAGGCCCGGCGGCGTGATGCCTCCGACTTTGGCACCCGCAATCGCTGAATGGGAGTTTCTGCAGCATTCGCCAACAGCAAAACAACTGAATGGAAAGGTGCGAAGCGCGCATGAGTGCTGTGAGTACCCAGGACATGCGCTGGCAATATCTTGCTCGCCATCCAGCGTCGCGGTACACCGTCTTCACATGTGTGTCGACATTACGCCGACGGCATAAGCCTATTGGGAGGTAGCCTCACTTAGCGTTGCGATCATTTTGAATTGTGATTGCGTTGGTATTCCAAATGATTCAAATGCATTGTCAACGGGCAGAGCTAAACACAGCTTGAGAGCTCCAGAGTTCTGACTTTTCCGATCTGAAAGGCTCGAGCCATTGTTTCAACTTCTGTTGACTGATGAAAATTAGACCATTTTATACGATTTACAATCGTGTGAAATCGTGTTGAAATTGTGCAACTCGGGTAGTTTGGAGCACGGTTTTACACGATTGCTAAAATAATGTAGTTTTCAGCCCTTTGCAGTACACGAAAGTGGCCCACTTTACCACTGTGGACAACACGACAAAGAACACGGGTTTACACGATTTCAACCGTGTACCAGCGGCAGCCGTGTACTATCTGATCAGCACACGATTGGTACACGAGTTTTACACGCATAACACTGTACGCGATTCTCAGGACCATGTAGTTTGGCTGGTTTTTCACTGGTGATTGGAGCCGAATCCGATTGTGTTGGTACGTTTCTTTGACGTGCATCGGCCACTAACTCTTGGTTCAATTAAAATAGCGATTACCCGTGAAACGCGTGTCATACCTCTTCGCTGTGCTGTTGTTGCAGGCCGCCGAGAGAGTTGCTTACTGCAGAGAGTGCCGCCAAACAACACCATACACAATCCTCCAATGCGTGGACACATCCCGCAGGTGCAAGCAGATGTGGCAGATCAGGCCTTTGGGAAATCATTGCAATGCGGCCTTGCCATTTCCGGCCTGTACTGTATCACTGGTAGACTTGGGAAATATAAGGAACTTTGAACTCGCTGCTGGCGCCATAATGGAAGGTAGCATATTGCGCAGACCATGGGAACGACTGTTTGGACGAAAGCAGCAGCGTGCATCCTTTGGATGCAGGTGACGAAAAGTGTCAAAGCACAACCCTTGCACCAGCAAGGTGAAGTCGTTCGTGAATCCGCGCACAGAATGCAAAAGAAAGCGATACCCTGCTTTCGCCAACGTCCAGAAGTTAACCCATTAGCAAGATTTCACACTTGCAAGGCGTTCCGCGCAGCCGTGCTCGCTCGTAAGGGTCTTAAGAAGAGGCAGGCAGAGCGCAATCCAAGCCCCAAAATGATGGTGGGACCACAGATATGGGCTACACAAAGATCAGACACGCGAAAGACTGACTGGTGGCTGCACGCTGCAGCGAGAAGAAGCGCGTTCCCCCGGACTGTAAATGAATAATGTATTTTTGTCTTTGCTCATATTCGCTTGTCTGGCTGCAAGGGCGGCCTGCTCGGACCTTCGGCCATGCAAGCAAATACACCTTCCATCCAAGATTTATTGTCGTCTATGATTCTGGGCATTACTTCTTCATCGTGCCTACAACAATTTTCATTAAAATTCAACCAAAGTTGTGCTTGTGAATCCAGAGCATACTATTGAAATTTCAGGTCAATCCAATAAGTATTGAAGATTTGGAAGTACTTTTTAATAAGAGTCCTCTGGCCAGAAAACGGTCGGTTTCTGACGTCGTGCCAGAATATGGCCGTTTCCGCTGTTTTGAGGAGCAAGCCTTCACGGCGGTGGCACAAAGCCGCCAATGCAAGAATATCCACGCTGTTCAGATTGGAGGTCGCCATGGTGCTTTCAAAGAGGTACCTCTTCGAAATGTGTTTTCCATCGCCGTACCAGTACGGCGATGGAAAACACATTTCGAAAGCATAAGATCGTCAAACATGCTGCGATTTGTGCAACAAGCTCGATCCGGCAAATCGGAGCAATGTTCTGGGCCAAAAAATCTGGATCAAGACTTTTGGGCTTCCATCGCTGCCATTAGGGCAAGTGCGGTAGGCCTCCCAATCAACTCGACAAGGTTCAACACAAGGTTACGGCCATCACCCCAAACAATCGCGGACAAGTAGCGAATTGGCCACTATGCCGGTAATTGCAAATTGACCTTGTTTTACTGGCGGTTGAAAGGATCGGGGGCTAGGAGAATGGCTACAAGGGCAAAGTCGTGTCTCTTGAAGTAATCAAGACTCACTAGGCTGTGATGAATTGTGTACCGTGTGCCAGAATTGGTAGCTAGGGGCTATATGTGTTTTCTGGGTTCAGCTGCGCACAAAAGTTTCGATTTAGACATCGATCGAGGCGGAATATCCAAGCAAACCTACAATACAACCTTGAAGAGCTAGCCCACACTGACACCAGCCTTCAAAGTCTTGGATCTTGGTCTTTTCCACTCAGAGAAGGTTCGCCATCGGAGATTGAGGACATCGCGGACTTCCAACATCGACATTGCCGTGACAGTGGTCACCTTCGAGAAGAATCCAGGCACAGTCGAGTGGGTTCGGCAAGAGCTGCGCCACGTGTTGGATGCCCCCTTCCACAACGGCAGTGGCAACGACTGGCGATTGCTATTTGCAAGCAAGGGAACGGCCCAGAATTTAGGGGGTCTCTGGGAAAGCGGACTCTGAACGAGCTTTTTCTGGACCAACCCAGGGTAGTATTCGGAGGTTGCTCACAGGGCTGTTGTCTGGTTTGTTTTTCTTGAAAATTGGAACTAAGGATTTTAGACCCAATCTTTCCGATTCTGGCCTCTTTTGCAGTTTGCACGCCATTTTCACTGCGAAATTTCTCTTTCAAATAGACGACCATTAATCTTGGACAGAGGAAATATGAGCAAAGACAAAGGAAGCAAAGAGTTGAATGAAAGGGACTGTTTAGAATCATTGGCCCTAGAATCAATGCATGTTCTCCGAGTTCCGGTGCCCGCAAGTGTACAGAAGAAAGACATGTCAAACACAAGGAAACTGAGAGAGGTTTCAGAGCCTGAGGTGCGTATCCGACGCAGTCTCCTTATCCTGGAGTTGTTGTGCTGGTGGAGGGGCTGCCGCTCAATTCACTCTGAGAAAGCTGACAGCACCTCGACTAAAATTGTTCAGTTGAATGAGATAGGGCAGGAAAGCAGCTGCTGGATCCGCCCATCATCCACTGCGCAGATGCCACACACCATTTGACATAATCTGGAACAGACTGCACAACATTTGTGTGCTCAATTGCCAGCAGTCGGGTCCGATTCGGGAGGGTGAGCGAAACCTGGGCGGGCAGCTTCGTTTGATGCGGGTTGATTGACTTGATATCCGATCTGCGTATCTTCGATTCGCCACGTCTGCGCCAGGTGGCCCGCCAGCACATCCGCCTTGGCCCCGTCAGGGGGCGCCCCCGCTGCAGAAGCGCACGCTAGGTTTCTTGCTCGGCCCGCAGGAGGGCTCGTTCGCGCGCTCGCGGCTCGGTTCGAATTTTGGGGGATGGTGGGCTGGCGGCTGGGGTCAGGCGGGGACCGGTTTCGGGGCGGCCGCGCCGGGGACGCGTCGCAGGCCGCCGATTTGTCGGACATGTGCCGGGCGGAAATTACTGCAACGGATGTGCGGGTCACGCGCGGCAGGCACGGCGTGTCGCGGGTGGGTGACCGCCACTCCGGTATTGCAGCTCCGGCACTGTCGCTCCGAAACCATCTCCGGCGATGATCCGCGAACCCCGTTGGCGCCCAGTTCCCCCCGGTGGCGACGCTCGGATTTCAGCGCACCGGCGGAGTTTTCTGTCTGGCCGGTGTCGAATCGCCATCGGGCTGGGATGCGCAGGTTGGCGTGGTCTGGGCGGTAGGGAGCGTGGCGCGTGGGCCGGGCGAGGGAAGCGATGGCTTGCTGGGGTCCAGGCCGCTGAGGTGTCCCTTGCTGCCCCCAGGCCGCCGTGCTGTTCAAGGGGAACGTCTCCAACTGGGAAGAGGTTTGCGACCTGTATGGGCTTGTGCCCACGGCGGACCCCGCGGCCATGCTTCGTCAACTGTACGCTCAGGTACAGCGACCGGCACACCTCTCGATGCGCCTCCCTGCTCTCCCCCTGCCCCCCTCTCCGTTGGGTTTGTCGTGCTGACACCCCGCGTCGCCTCTGACGCTCAGGGCTTCTCCGATGTCTACGGCGACTCGAGCGATCAGCCGGCGACGTGCTTTGCGGCCATGCAGGTCAGTGGGCGGCCCTGATCTCGCCGTTGGCCGGGAAGCGTCTCGCGGCGGCTCTCGCGCAACGACGCCTTACGCGCATGTGGCCCCCGTTGCGTGGGTCTGCCGGCTGCGGGTGCCGGTGAGCGCGCCGCTGGCGCTGGTGCTTCCCCGGGCTGGTGGCCTCCGCCGCTGAAGCTGTTCGTGTCCTCCTGGCCAGGGTGACTTCAGCTTCGTGTTGTACGAAGAAGGGTACGTGCTGGCTGCGCGGTCCCACGGCGGCAGCCAGTGTCCGTTCTCCTGGGGCATGCTGAGGCTGGGCCAGGCGGGCGACGCACTGGTGTTGTCATCCGAACCCCACGAGGGCCTGGTCGACTTTTCACCGGGTTGCTATTTCGAGGTGGGCGCGGGGTCGGACTTGCTCGTCCTCCCTCCCAGTTGCTCCTGTTCCAATACCACACCATGTGCGACCGCTGGGCACGAGGTGGTGTGCGGGCAGCATCAGCATGCAAACAGAATGGTGGAAAATCGTACACGCGGGCGCGAGGGTCCTAAACGTGCCACGGCGGAATGGAGTAGTAATGTGCCAACGGCAAAAGAAACGCGAATATTCGAATCGGCACTGGGATTTCGTGCCGGCCTGTTTATCTTCGATCGTTGCCTCGAGCTTAACTTTACATAGTTTGTGAAGTCATCAGCCTCTGCTGGGTATGTGCCAGCAGGCAGAAAGGAGTAGAACCACCTTGGACTTTATTCATGCTGGTGGCTCACAGAGTTTTGTTCACAAGCCATCCGATGTGTACCATTTCTTGGTCAGCTCGGGTTAGTGTCCCACTCACCTGGCCAGGTCGCGCCCTTGTCTGTAATGTTGCAGCGACGGGTGATATTTGAATGCCAGCTGCCAGTTGGGGCTGATACAGACAGCATGTCCTGCAGACTTCTGCAGGAGATGGCGTTTGGGACTGTAAGATTGTTAACTACATGCGATCGCCCCTGGAAGCAAGGAGTGCTGACCGGAGTTTGGTGGTGGAAATGCGTAGTCGGTTGTGTGGTAGGTGCAAGAGGAAACCACCAACTTGGACACTGTGCTTTTTCACGATAGCTGCACTTGCTTGTGTCTTGCATACTATTCGGCAACATTCAAGCCCTCAGATTTTGCTCCTGCAGAAGGGGTTGATGCTGCACCATCGCGACTGTGTCTTGCTGTTTGACATTTCAAAATGTTCTTAATTAAATCGATAGTTCAACTTTAAAGCAACCTTTGCACCACATCTCAGGTGAAAGACACCGATCGGCGCACCATAGTAGTGTGTTTTCTTCAGTGAATATCAACGCATCACTGTGGATGCAGTGTTAGTTTTAGACAATGTGCAAGAATTCATGACAACTGCCCCAGACCAGCGATTCCACCGGAGACATTCTCAATAGTTATGAACCCACTAGTCAATCATGGGGCACTGGACATAACACTCCGATGCCAGCAAGAAGGGACAAGACTGCTGAGGGGCCAGAAACCAGTATTCACAGAAAGTTGCGTCCTCAAGTAGGTTTTGGTTCGAACTTCCACAGTTTCTTCTCTCTAAATGTATGGGATGCTTCCAAGGCTCAAGATTATCCAGCTCCACCTGCAGCTGTGGTGACAGTCAGTTTGCAGTTTATGCCTGTTGGTGACCCAAACAGGTGGCTGTCGCATGGATTCTTTGCTAAAGGCACACAGCCTAGAAGTGCCCAAAGCAGTCCACTTTAATTGGTTTTGCTGAACTGGTCATCTTCAGTGTACTTGTGCACTGGTGGAAAATATGAACACATGCAATGAGAATGCTGCCGTTTTTGTGCAGAGTCAGTATGTTGTATAGATAGGTATCCAGCACATGGTGGTGACGGACTCATCTTCTGTGCCTGTGCCAGGTGTGGTGCTCAGAACACAAAACAGAACTGAGGTGCTGCCCATCACAAGGCTATGACTGGGAATTGAAGGGCAGGGATGATCCTGTACCATTTTGAGAGTGTAAAATAGGATAGAAACATAATTTTGTACCTGCCCAACGGCCACACAGTACAATTGTTTGCAAGAGACAAAGACTTTGGATTTGCAGTGGAGGGTTGCTGAAATTTGCTGCGTGTAGAAATTCATGCCTGCTGTGTGTAGAAATGCACTCCAGAAGTGGTGGCGCAGGCTGGCTGCAGAATATGCGAGAACACAGATCTGGGTTGGGACCTCACAGTTGCAGACATCGGTGTGAACGTCGGCTGTGGCATCGGATGTGGGAAGGCACACACAGTGGTGGAAATTGTGCTATCAGCCTTGAGGACACAGGAGATTGCATGCGAAGGGGCAATGCCCCTATGCTAGTTCGAGCATGGACTTTGTTGCTGTGCAGGCCAGGGCTTGCACAGTACTGACATGACATTGTGGGCACTGTTTAGGAGGCCCAGCGGAGTGGTGGTGTGTCAATCATTTTTGTGTACCCAAGTTTTTGGGCATCAGCGCAAGGCAGTTAACACTATCGGGGCGTGTGTTGCAGGGAAGGTATTGCTGCAGGTTTTTTCTTGCATGGGGTTAGCTGTAGCATATAGTTAAACGACCAGAGGGCAAGCAGAACGTATGCTTTGTGGGGGACGCAGGGTAGAGGGCTGAGAAACGGTTCCAACCGTGTAACGATTTGCAAAAGATGGTGGGTATCACCTGGATGCGTGTGGAAAGAGCGATGCTCCCCTGCTTTTACGGCCATTAAACCTCTCCGCAGAATTTCCTTTTGCGTCCAATCTGCTGCTGCAACTGAGGTGCAGGAATGCCGCAATCGAAAAGACGGAAAGGCATAGTTCGTGTCGCCTCAGCGCGGCAGTCCTTTGCACCGGGATGCCGTTTGGTCGAGGGGTGGGCAACTTGGCGGCGGAACACGTTCGATACCGGATTAAGCAATTGCATCCACCCTTGCATGCCACGACGTGCGGCAGCGAGCGTCGGCGCAATTGGGTATAATACGGCTGCATGCTGTTTCGAGACGCCCAGGGGATAAGATGTTATAAACACCAACCCCGCTAAGCCCCGAGGTGCGCAGATGCTGGCAGCTGGCAGCTGTTCAGCTGTTTAGAAACAAGCGGCCCGGAAACGGTGCTGCATCGAAGCTGGGCCAAGTGAGGCACAGTGGAGGCGATCGAACGACCACATGCGCCCCCCCGCCCCCATGCCAGAAATCTGACCCTGCGGCAGATGGAAAAGGATGGAAAGGCAAGGAGCACAAAGAATCGTCCTTATAAGACGCTCGGGCCGCAGAACTCACACGCCATGGAGCGCCACGTCGCATTTGTGTTACAAAACTCGTCATGAAAGCAAAAGAATATCGAAGGCCATGCGTAAGCGATCAGTTTGCAGCAGACCGTTGACGCGAGGCCAAACCCGGGTGGTCTGGCAACATCTCCTGCACCGGCAAAGTATCCGATGAAAACCCGCTGCCATGAGAGGGGGGTCATGGACTGCCGGATTGCCTCCACAGCCATCTCCTGACTAGAAGCCTGATCAACAGCGACGTTGCTATGTAATCAAAAACCAGCCGCTGCCAGTATTCCCATGCACAATGTGAGCACAGATTTGCAAATTAAAGACCAACAATATCGTAGCGTTCTACCCACCATGTTCATAAACTCCGAGCAGCCACTCACCAGGTCGCACAGCGATCATCAGCTTTCCAATCCATTTTCTTGGCCCCCCTCCTTGTCCTTCAAGGGATAGTTGTGAGCGATCCGCTCGTGCACTCAGCCAACGTACGCACACAACTCCCAAACAAGTCGTTCCGCCATGCTACAAGGAATGTTAAGGCTGCAAATCTGTATAGCCTTGAAGGGTGTGAGTGCCCTGAAGAGCACTGGCACGGGCACACATGCCCAACTTGGTGCTCCCAACGCACCACTGTACATAAACAAAACAATACCGTGCTCCAGACATATTAAATGGTCCCTCAGGGTGAATGCCAGCAGCTACATACAGATATTCTCATCTAACACCTGAATCAGGAAACGTAACGTTTCCGCAAACTGATGTGGCCAGTTTGCGGACAGACTGTCCGGCCGTCCGCATACGGACGGAGGCAGAATGCGTTGCACGCCATCTGTTTAATGGTCTAGTCAGCTAGCAGAGATGAACGAAAATGTTCTGTGACTAAATACTGTTGTTTGTGCTGCTTTCACTACAAGGGCAGTATTAATGCTACCAGACAGGGGTCAAACACAATTCACTCAGGCTGTGTACCACAGCCAATGATAGTAAAAGACTTGTGCCAAAGGTTACCAATCTACGTTGGTCTCATGCAATGATTCTCAAAGACATATGGAGGGCCAAAACAACCTGTTACGAATAGGATGTGGGTGTGGGGTTCCTGCCCTCTTTGAGCCGCGGACCCGCCTCGCCGGGCACCTAGGTCCTTACAGGGCACCTAGGCGGGACCACCCCTCCTACTCCCGTATCCTAATATGGATAAAGGTTACAGTGGGTGAGGAATAGTACGTGCCTTGGGCAGGGCGTCCCCACACCAAGGGCCATTAGTAGGACGTCTCCCACATCAGGCTGGTGCGCGTAACATTCGTCCCCCTCAGGGAGAGGGGCGTCCTCGTCCC